CTATGCTTAATGCCTCCTATCCTCTTTTCTGGGGGTTGACCCCCAGGGGGACTTACCTCCCTTCCCTTTTTTGTTTGTTTTTGAGACAGGTTCTTATTATGTAGTCCAGGAGGGCCTTGAACTCACTATGTAGCCCAGATTAGCCGAAATTTACAGTGATCCTCCTGCCTCAGCCTTCCTAACGCTGGGATTTATAGGTATATGCCACTGTACCTGGCTATCTAAGCTTTTAAAAAAACGTTGTTTCCAGGCAGCATTTCCTCAAGTTGCTCAAGTTGGTCTCCAACTTGTGATCCTTCTGTCTCAGCTTCCCAGAGTGCTTGGATGACAGGTGCGTGGCATCATGCCTGGCTGCAAAATGTTTATAACGTGCCTTCTAGGCTCTGGGTGATCTGTCCCCTCAATCCCAATCTGCCTTGGTAATGGTAATCTAGCTGTTGTAACAAATGAACTCCAGCAGCTCCAGCAGCTTGACATAATCGAAATTTATTTCTTGTTCACAAAGCAGTGCGGTGTGAGTGCTCTTGGTTCGCTGCAGCCTTTCTTCCACGTACTTCATTCAGAGATCCAAGCCCCTTCAGCCTTCTGTTTTTGCCAGTGCTGAGAACTCTGAATCTTGTACTGCTATCTGACAGAAGGCAAAGAAGAGAGAAGGGATCAACCTCATTTAAAGTTCTCATTACTTTGGAAGTTTCAAATCCAGGGCCTTGTGCGAGCTAGGCCAGTCCTCTATCACTGAGCTGCATCTCCAGCCTGAAGTTCGCATTTCCCACATGCCCTGACCTGGGAGCCACACAGGTGAGTGTGTGCACGCATTTCCTGGATGAGAATTAGTCACATCGCCACACCAGGATGAAAGAGGGACTGGGAAAAGTGCCTGACCTTACCTGCCTCGCTAGCACAACTCCACAGACTATGGAAGTTGCCAACTCCACCAAACCTTTTCCCATCTTCTGCATCTCTTCCCAGTCCTAACTTGCCCCAGCCACCCAGGCTTCTTATTGCTCCACAGGTATTCCAGGGCTTCTCTATCTCACCCCCCTTTCCTAGAATTATATTTCTTTGCTCATACTAAGGCTCTCTCATGGCCTTCATGCTGAACTAGTTGCCGTTCACTAAAATTGAAGGGCTGGGGAGATAACTCAGTAGAATAAGCACTGGTCTGGCAAGTGCAAGGTCCTGAGTTCAATCCCTGGTACTGTCAAAAACAAACAAACAAACAAAAAATATAAAATTATAGGTGGGTGTGGTGATGTATGTCTGTAACCCCAGAGCTCAAGAGGCTGAGGCAGAAGGTTCACCTTGAGTTTGAGTCCAGCCTACACTACACTACATACTGACTTCAAGGCCAGCCTGGACTACATAATGAGCCCATCTCAAAAAAAATTATATATCTATATATATATCTATATATATATATCTGATATAAAGTTCCTTTTGAATTGATTTTTAAAATTAACTTACAAATTCTTCAGTACAATCTAGTGAGTAGTAAGAATGATTATTTGCAGCCCAGAGAGGTTAACGAGTGTGTCTGTTTACACGGTAACAGTAGAGGTGGAGATCTAAACATTAAATTGTAAGAGCATCCGCTTCTGCATTTTCTCTCTCATTCTCTTAAGAAGCAATCATTCTGCCAAACATGTTTCCTACTGGGAAGGAGATCACTTTACAGTTGGGTATTCTGGGCCTCTGAGCAGCTACATTTCCCAGGGCAAATTAATAGTCATGGTTTTGTTTTTAACTTGTGTTTTATGAGTTCAGTTAGTGTCAGAGGTCTTCTAGCAACTGGCTACCTTGGAGACATTGGATGAAAAGTTTCTGGACTTTTAAACTTGGGACTTGACATTTATTCCTTTTTTCAAGTCTCTTCTCTGCTATCAGAGTGTTGGTTCTAAAATGTGGGTCAGATCTTGCCAGTCCTTGGCGTAGATTTCTTTCCTTCCTTCCTTCCTTCCTTCCTTCCTTCCTTCCTTCCTTCCTTCCTTCCTTCCTTCCTTCTTGTCCCATCCCATCCCGTTCATTCCTTTCTTTCTTTTTTTGTGGTACGGGGGATTGAACTCAGGACCCTGTGCTTGCCAGGCAAGCACTTATTCTACTGAGCCATCTCCCCAGCCCCTCTTTCTTTTTTTTTCTTCTGTAATGGGGATTGAACCCAGTGCTTTTACACTGAGCTACATCCCTAGACTTTTCATTTTTTATTTTGAGACAGGGCCTCCCTAATTTTCCTGGGGTGGACTCAGACTGATCTTTCCCGGGCTGATCTTCCTGCCTCAGGCTCCTAGAGTCCTCGAATTTCAGGAGTGTGTCTCCATGCCTAGCAAGGATAATTTCTTTTTAAAAATGTGTGGTTCTTTCTTTCTTTATTTTTAAAGTAAGGTCTCAGTATGCACTCCAGGTTCACTTCGCCAGGCAAGCACTTACTCAGCTGAGCTATCTCCCCGGCCCCCCCAGGTTCACTTTGAACTATGTAACCTAGGCTGGCCTCAAACTCCAAGTAATCCTCTTGACTCAGCCTCCTCAGTGCTTGGATTACAATTGTGGTCCACCACGTGTGACAAGGATAATTTTTTTAAAATTTATTTTATTTTATTTATTTTGCAGTGTGTGTGTGTGTGTGTGTGTGTGTGTGTGTGTGGCCAGCTCAGCCCACCAGGGGGCGGGGCTGGCTGGCATGTGGTGCTGGGGGATTGAACCGCGGTCCCTGTGCTTTGCCAAGCTTGTTCGAAGTAGGTGCTTTAGACCACTGAGCCATCTCTCCAGCCCCGCAAGGATAATTTTTTTAACCCTCGCATTTGAAGCCTTTTTTTTTTGGGGGGGGGCGCGTTGAGACAGGGTCTTGCTGTTAGTCCAGGTTGGCCTTGAACTGTCTTCCATCCTTCTGCCTCAGCTTCTTCAGTATTACAGGCGTGCACCACCATACATGGCTTGAAGCCTTCCTTGATCTGTCCTTCTACTTCCTTCTTGGTTCTGTCCCTTTTAATTGTCCATTTATCATACTCATGCATTACGTGCTGTCACCTTATCCCATTTTTTCTGTCATCCCTGTTGCACATGCTGGGTCAAATATCTGTTTCCCTCTTTCTTTTTACCAAGAAATTCCTCTTGAGCCTCTCCGTCTCAGGTCTGAGCATCTCCTGGCAGTTCCCTTCCTATGCCTCAACTGTGTGGGATGCCAAGTTTCTGTGCCAATTACTAAGCCCTCTGATCCCCAACGCTGTCCCCACATGCAGGATAGGGTGGGCAACATCTTTAATGAGCTTTGCCAAGCCATCTTCTCCCTACCTTTCTCCTACCAGTTCAGGCAAGTTAAATACAGGGCGGGACAGGTGCTATGGTTTCAAGTGACAGTGATGTTGGCGGTGACCTCCAAGCTATACTCCCTGAGGGAACTTGAGAGAATTGCTCAGGGGATAGCCTAGGCTGGATCCTTTGGAAGTCAATTGCCTTGTGGCCCTCAGTGGCAGCTTGCCAGGGCAGAACTTGAGCAAGGCTTTCTGGAACAATAATAATACACTGCAATATTTACCAAGGGGCTTCTCTGTTTCAGGTAATCTTCTTACCACTTTACCTATCCTTGCCTTGGTTTTATGTAATCCTCACAAAAACCATGGCTGCTGGCACCTGCAGGTTAAGAAATTTTTCCGAGGTCACACAGCAAATGATAGAGTAAGGCTTTAAATCTGAGCACTATTTCTAGAGTCCATGCTCATAACCATTATAATGTGTTGTCTTCTTGTCCTCTGATCTCCCCTCCAACAAGGACACACGTGTCTGTAGCTCCTGTGTGAAACAACCACAGGACCCCAGGACAAGGACAAGGAAGTAAGTCTCCCTCTGCCTCATCTTACCCTCCTCATGCACAGGAAGAGGGCTCAGGGATGGATGGATGGAGATCCCTCACAGCGTCAGTCACTGAGAGAAGGGAGCTTCCAAGAGGCAAGGCCTTCAGAGGCCTGGAGAGAGACAGAAAGGGTGGCCCGGGGTGGGAGAGCTGGGGCGGGAGAAAAGGCTCCGCTGGGGGATGGGGGGAACTGAGTGACAGCACAGGCTCCTAGTCCAGGCTTGTCTCTCAGACTCAATGTCACCTCGTGGAGGCTCTTGCTTTTCTCTAAGCCTCTACTTGTAAATTAAGTGTAAATACTTGCACTGCACGACCCTCTCCAGCCAAAAGATGAGGCATCTTGAGCCCTACGAGGGAAAAGGCCCAGCGCGGACAGCAAGGAAGAGGGCAGAGAGAAGGCGCTGTGTGGGGTCTCGGGGGTCAGCTGGGGACTGGACTGGGGTGCTTCGGAGCTCGGCTCCGCAGTTCCACCCCAGCTGACAGGGCCGGGCTAAGACCCTCGGACTTCCAGCGGGGAGGGAAGGGGAGGGGAGGGTGGGCGGCCCGGAGCCCAGCGCGCGCCAGGGTCGCGGCTCTGCGGGGTCTGCCCGCTCTTCCCGCACTTCGGCGCTCCACAAGGGAGTCGCAGTCCCGCGAGGAGGCGGTTGCCGGCGGCGGGCAGCCGTGGACCGCGCTGCGGCGGCCACCCGGGGAGCTGCGGCCCGCTGGGCCCGAAGAGCATCACGTCATCTTTTCCGCCCCGCACCGCCCCCTCCCCGACGGCGCGTGCGCAGGCGCGGCGGGGCGCTCCGGCGCTTTCTGCCCTCTCC